GACTGAGGCTGAGGCTGAAGCAGGCTGAGGCTGAGGCTGAGGCTGAGGCAGGCTGAGGCTGAGGCTGAGGCTGAGGCTGAGGCAGGCTGAGGCTGAGGCTGAGGCAGGCTGATGCTGAGGCAGGCTCATGTTGAGTCACGCTTGAGGGCGAGGCGAGGCGGCCGAGGCGGCAGTCAGACTGAGGCAGAGGCTGAAGCAGGCTGATTCTGAGCTGAGCTGAGTCAGAGGCCTGGCTTAGCTGAGGCTGAGCTGAGGCAGGCTGATGCTGAGGCAGGCTGAGGCTGAAGCCTGAGGCTTATAGAAGATGAGGCTGAGGCTGAGGCTGATGCTGATGCAGGCTGAGGCTGAGGCAGGCTGAGGCTGAGGCCGAGGCCGACGGCAGACTGAGGCTGAGGCTGAAGCAGACTGAGGCTGAGGCAGAGGCAGGCTGAGGCTGAGGCTGAGGCTGAGGCAGGCTGATGCTGAGGCAGACTGATGCTGAGGCTGAGGTTGATGCAGGGTGAGGCTGAGGCAGGCTGAGGCTGAGGCCGAGGCTGAAGGCAGACTGATGTTGAGGCTGAAGCAGGCTGAGGCTGAGGCTGTGACTGCGACTGTCGTTGCGACTGCGACTGCCATCGCGAATGCGACTACGACTGCGAGAACAGCAGAATTCTACAAGAGGATTCTCATCTGAATCTTAAGGGGAATGCTTCCAGATATGCTCCTACACATCGCTGTTAGGTTGCTTTGCCGGGATAATTCCCCATGTAGAGGGACAGGCCCGACTTAAGGTTATTTTTGATCGCGACCGCGGCGAGGCAATCGGGCGGCGTCTGGAATCTTATCCATACCCACCGCCCGGGGAGCCGACGCCCTGGAACCCTGGCGGGCGGCAGACGTGGATCGATTCAGCGGCGAGCGAGTGGGGGAGGGGGAGGAGGAAGAAGAAGAGGAGGAGGAGGAGGAGGAGCAGGAGGAGGTGGAGAAGGAGGAGGAGGAGGAGGTGGAGGAGAAGGAGGAGGAGAAGGCAGAGGAGGAGAAAAAGGAGGAGGGGGGGAAGTGACACAGGGGAAGGCCGTCTCAGAAGGCGGCGGGACTTCTCAGAAGCCTTCGCGCCGTCGCGCCTTCTGAGGTTTTTGCCTAACAGCTTTTGCTGGTAGACTTCTAGGATTGACCTAACAGCTTTTGCTTTTTACCTAACAGGTTTTTACCTAACAGGTTTTTACCTAACAGCTTGGGATCAAAAGAAAGCATCTTGACGCCCCAGGAGGGTCTAGGCGGGATCTGGACAAGGAACCGGACGGAACCGGACAAAAATGCAGCCCCAGGAATCCTCAGGAATCCTTAGGATGTTTTAGGAATCCTTAGGAATCCATTCCCAGAACACCATTCCCAGGCCACATTTGGAATGCTCGGAGCCAACTGTAGGCCACTTCGTGGTCTTCGTGCTCCCAGAACACCATTCCCAGGCCACATTTGGAATGCCCGGAGCCAACTGTAGGCCACTTCGTGTTCTTCGTGCTCCCAAAACACCATTCCCAGGCCACATTTTGAATGCCCGGAGCCAACTGTAGGCCACTTCGTGTTCTTCGTGCTCCTAGAACACCATTCCCAGGCCACATTTGGAATGCCCGGAGCCAACTTTAGGCCACTTCGTGTTCTTCGTGTTCAAAAAACACAATTCCTGTACCATACTTTGATTGCCGGGAGCCAACTGTGGGCCACTTCGTGATCTTCGTGATCCCAGAACACAAGTCCTGTGCCATATTTTGAATGCCCGAGCTGAGGCAGGCTGAGGCCGAGGCAGGCTGAGGCCGAGGCAGGCTGAGGCCGAGGCAGGCTGAGGCCGAGGCAGGCTGAGGCTGAGGCTGAGGCACGCCGAGGCAGGCTGAGGCTGAGGCTGAGGCAGGGCTGAGGCGAGGCAGGCTGAGCTGAGGCTGAGGCAGGCTGAGGCTGAGGCCGAGGCTGAAGGCAGACTGAGGCTGAGGCTGAAGCAGGCTGAGGCTGAGGCTGATGCAGGGTGAGGCTAAGGCTGAGGCAGGCTGATGCTGAGGCAGGCTGAGGCTGAGGCTGAGGCTGAGGCAGGCTGAGGCTGAGGCAGGCTGAGGCTGAGGCCGAGGCAGGGTGAGGCTAAGGCTGAGGCAGGCTGATGCTGAGGCAGGCTGAGGCTGAGGCTGAGGCTGAGGCAGGCTGAGGCTGAGGCAGGCTGAGGCTGAGGCCGAGGCAGGCGAATCCTTCGGAATCCTTAGGATTCCCCTGGAATCCTTAGGAATCCCTAGGAATCCCTAGGAATCAGGATTCCTAAGGATTCCTAAGGTTTCCTGAGGATTCCTATGGATTCCTAAGGATGCTATGAGGCTGTGGCTGAGGCGAGGCACGAAGAGGCAGGGATGGGCTGAGGCTCAGGACGAGGCAGGGCTGAGGACTGAGGCTGAGGCTGTGGTTGAGGCCTGAGGCTGAGGCAAGCTGCTGATGAGGAGCTGAGGCTGCGGCTGAGGCAGGCTGGGCTGAGGCGCTCTGAGCTGAGCTGAGGCCGAGGAAGGGCGGAGGGGCTGAGGCCGCAGGCAGGCTGAGGCTGAGGCCGAGGCAAGCCGAGGCAGGGCTGAGATGAGGCTGAGGCTGATTGCTGAGGAAGGCTGAGGCTGAGGACAGCGAGGCTGAGGCTGAGGCAGGCTGAGGCGAGGCAGGTGAGGGTGAGCGAGGCAGGGTCTCAGGAGGCTGAGGCAGGCTGAGGTCTGAGGCAGGCTGATGCTGAGGCTGAGGAAGGCTGAGGCTGAGGCAGGCTGAGGCTGAGGCCGAGGCTGAAGGCAGACTGAGGCTGAGGCTGAAGCAGGCTGAGGCTGAGGCTGAGGCAGGCTGAGGCTGAGGCTGAGGCAGGCTGATGCTGAGGCACGCTGAGGCTGAGGCTGAGGCTGAGGCAGGCTGAGGCTGAGGCAGGCTGAGGCTGAGGCCGAGGCTGAAGGCAGACTGAGGCTGAGGCTGAAGCAGGCTGAGGCTGAGGCAGAGGCAGGCTGAGGCTGAGGCAGGCTGATGCTGAGGCAGGCTGAGGCTGAGGCTGAGGCTGATGCAGGCTAAGGCTGAGGCAGGCTGAGGCTGAGGCCGAGGCTGAAGGCAGACTGAGGCTGAGGCTGAAGCAGGCTGAGGCTGAGGCTGAGGCAGGCTGAGGCTGAGGCTGAGGCAGGCTGATGCTGAGGCAGGCTGAGGCTGAGGCTGAGGCCGATGCAGGCTGAGGCTGAGGCAGGCTGAGGCTGAGGCCGAGGCTGAAGGCAGACTGAGGCTGAAGCTGAAGCAGGCTGAGGCTGAGGCTGAGGCAGGCTGAGGCTGAGGCTGAGGCAGGCTGAGGCTGAGGCAGGCTGAGGCTGAGGCTGAGGCTGAGGCTGATGCAGGCTGAGCCTGAGGCAGGCTGAGGCTGAGGCAGGCTGAGGCTGAGGCCGAGGCTGAGGCTGAGGCCGAGGCAGGCGAATCCTTCGTAATCCTTAGGATTCCCTGGGAATCCTCAGGAATCCCTAGGAATCCCTGGGAATCCCTTGGAATCAGGATTCCTAAGGATTCCTAAGGTTTCCTAAGGATTCCTATGGATTCCTAAGGATGCCTTAGGAATCCCTAGCAATCCTCAGGATTCCATTGGATCCTAAGGCCGTTGCCACTGCCACTGTCATTGCGAATGCGACTGCGACTGCGAGAACAGCAGAATTCTACAACTGGATTATCACCTGAATCTTAAGGGGAATGCTTCCAGATCTGCTTATACACATCGCTGTTAGGTTGCTTTGCCGGGATAATTTCTGCGTCTTCGGGAAAGGCTGAGAAAACTCCTAGGAAGGCCAGGGGACTTTTGAGCCTTCTGAGAAGGCCCGCCCCTTCTCACTGCACTCCAGGCTCGCCGCCGATACATTTTGGCCCCAGGACGGTCGAAGACATCCAGATGCACCGCCAGCCGAGGAGGTCCCAGATCGATCCCCTGGGCAGTGGCTGTATTAGGGGGCAAATATTGGGAGGTCATCGTCGGAAGGATTAATTGGCGGCGCGCAGAAGGGGGTGGAGGGAGGGGGGAAGGCTTCTTTGAAGGAGGCTGCTTCTTAGAAGGCGCCGCCTCGCCCCTCCCCCCTCTGCGCGTGGCTGAATGAACGAGGATGAAGCCCCTTTGGAGGGCTGCTACGTCCCATTAGGCCGCGGATCAAGCGAGAATAAGCCGGATGAAGTGGGATCAAGCCAGATTAAGCCGGACGTCGGACCAGGGTAAAGCCAGAAGCTGACCTCCCAGGCGTTGCATCCGAAGCTGTGTATGAACTCACACCTCGGAGCTGTCTGGGCAGATGCACGGTCAGGGATCTTCTGACCCGGGTCAGTCAAAACCCGGGTCAGTCAGACCTTGCAGGATCCCGCAAGATCCTGCACCCAAACCTGGGTCAATGCGCCCCAGGCCCTGCACGATCCTGCAAGATCCGGCGCTCTGACTGACCCCCGTTTGCATTGAACCCCCGTCCCTGGGGAGAGTGTTCAGAGGTCCAAGGTCCAGTCTATGTTTCGGAACAGGCGCGCCATTGAACGCTTTGGGGGCATGTGCTCGGCGATTCTCGGAGATTGTGGAGTGATTGCAGAGAGTCTAGGAGTCCAGGCCTCATTCACGGGGTCCGAGCAGCTGAAGGTCGGAGGGTCGCGCCGCGTCGCTCGATGCATCGGCGATGCGGCTCTCGAGCCCCGGCACCGGCGCCCCCCACGAGCCACGGTCCGGAGGCCGCGACCTGCCTGACTGCGCGCCAAATCGGGGGCGCGACAACGGGGGGCGCCCGCCCGAGAGGGCGGGCGGGGGGACCCGAAAGCCCCCGATCGGAAGCCTTCTCCGAGAATTCCGCCTCCTCCTCCTCCTCCTCCTACTCCTCCTCCTCCTCCTCCTCCTCCTCCCCCTCCCCCTCCTCCTTCTCCTCCGAGACCTCCTCGAAAGCCCTCCGATGTCTTCCGAGCTCAGCCGCCCCGATGCGCAACAGGCCGCGGGCCGACGCCAACGAGAGAGGCGCCGCCTCCCGCCCACGGTGGCAGCAGCGCCGGCGCCGGCGCCTGCTGCGCGGGCGGCGGCTGCAGCTGGTGGCCCTGCCGCCGCCACGCGGGAGGCACGTCCTCGTCCTCCTCCTCCTCGCCCTCCTCCTCCTTCTCCATCCTCCTCCTTCCTCCTCCTTCTCCTCCTTCTCCTCCTCCTCCTTCCTCTTCCTCATCCTCCTCCTACCGCCTCCTCCTCCTCCTCATCCTACTCCTCCGCATCATCATCATCATCATTCATCATCATCTATCATCATCATAATCATCATCATCAGCATTCATCATCGTCATCATCATCATCATTATTCGTCGTCGTGTCGTCGTCGGTCGTCGCGTTGTCGTCATCATCATCCTATTATCATCATCATTCATCATCATCATATCATCACACCACCACCACCAGCAACCACCACCATCCATCATCATCATCACATCATCATCATCATCATCATCATATCATCATCATCATCAGCATCAGCATCAGCATCAGCATCATCATCATCATCATCATCATCATCAGCATCAGCATCAGCATCAGCATCAGCATCATCCGCATCATCATCATCAGCATCAGCATCAGCATCATCATCAGCATCGTCGTCGTCGTCGTGACTCGTCGTCGTCGTCATCATCATCACCATCACCAGCATCATCATTATCATCACATCATCATCATCATCATCATCATCATCATCATCATCATCATCATCATCATCATCATCATCATCAGCATCATCATCACTCCTCCTCCTCCTCCTCCTCCTCCTCCTCCTCCTCCTCCTCATTCTCCATTCCCTTTCCTTATAACTTTCCCTGTCGCACCCCGAAGCCAGTTTTTAGGGCGGACCGGGCGTTGCGCCTGAGACTTCCTCACCACTAATGACTCCCAAGCTTAAGAATGCCAACAGTTTCACAGATGGAGGGCGGGTCGTTTTCAAAATGTGGCTCTCGCCTTAGCGCGGCGCATAGTCGTCTCAGAAATGCGCAAGAGTTTCGTGGATTGGGGGCGGGTCGTGTTCGAAAGGTGGTCCTCGCCTTAGCGCGGCGCACATTCGTTGTAGAAAATTGCAAGAGCTTCGCGGATCGAGGACGGGCCGTTTTCAACATATGGCTCTCGCCTGAGCGCGGCGCACATCCGTTTGAAAACAAGTTCTAAGAGTTTCGCGGGTTGGGGGCGAGTCGTTTTCAACATGTGGCTCTCGCCATAGCGCGGCGCACATTCGTTATAAAAATTGCAACAGCAACACAGATGGAGGGCGGGTCGTTTTCAACATGTGGCTCTCGCCTTTGTGCGGCGCACACTCATCGTAAAAATGTGCAAGAGCTTCAAGGATTGAGAGCGGGTCGTTTTCAATAAGTGGCTCTCGCCCTTGGCGCGGCGCACATCCGTTCTAGAGCGGCTCCTTTTCAAAATGTGGCTCTCGCCTTAGCGTGGCACACATTCGTGTTGAAAGAACTGCACAGGTTTCGCGGGTTGGGGGCGGGTCGTTTTCAAAATACGGTTCTCTCCTTAGCGCGGCGCACTGTCGTTATAAAAATTTGCAGGGGCTCCACGGATTGAGGGCGAGTCGTGTTCAAAATGTGGTTCTCGCCTTAGCGCGGCGCACCTTCGTCACAAAATGTACACGAGTTTCGCGGATTGGGGGCGGGTGGTTTTCAACATGTCGCTCTCGCCTTAATGCGGCGCACAGTCGTTTGAAAATTGAAATTTGCAAGAGCTTCACGGATTGAGGGCAGGTCGTTTTCAAAATGTGGCTCTCGCCTGCGCGCGGTGCACATTATTTGTTTCTGTGTGTGTAAATATATATATATAGATAAATAAATAAATAAATGTGGTTTGCTTATTTTATTTATTTTTCTAATATAAATAAAAAAGAAAAAAAAAAAACAACAAAAAACAAAAAAAAAACAAAAAAAAAAAAAAAGGGGGGTCACGGATTGAGGGCGGGTCGTTTTCAAAATGTGGTTCTCGACTGCGCGCGGTGCACATTTTTGTTCCCCACATCCTGGGTGGGGTTCTTGTTTTCCCAGGAAATCCTCTCCTTTTCCCTCCCGCTTCCCGCCTCCCATATCAATACCACGCCTACCATTCCAGCCTCCCATATCATACCATGCCTACCATACTATTTACTTGGTTTCGTGCCCCTGCCACCCCTCCAAAGAGGCCCCGTCTGAGCGAGGAGGGTATCCGAAACCAATACTCTGTACATGATATCGTGCCCCTCTCACCCCTCCAGGGAGGCCTCGCCTGAGCGAGGAACGTATCGGAAACCCATAGTAATTACATGGTTTCGTGCCCCTCCCTCCCGTCCAGGGGGGCCCCGCCTGAGCGAGGAGGGCAACGAAAACCCACACAATTTACATGGTTTCGTGCCCCTTCCCACCCATCCAGGGGGCCCCGCCTGAGCGAGGAAGGTATCGGAAACTCGGAAACCCATACTATGTACTTGGTTGCGTGCCCCTCCCACCCCTCCAGGGAGGCCCCGTCTGAGCGAGGAGGGTATCGGAAACCCATTATGTTTACATTGTTTCGTGCCCGTCCCACCCCTCTGGGGAGGCCCCGCCTGAGCGAGGAGGGTATCGGAAACCCATACTCTTTACATGGTTTCGTGCCCCCCCTCCCCTCCAGGGAGGCCCCGGTCCTGGGATAACCCTCTGCAGATTCACCTGGGGCGGGGCGAATGTTTCGTGCCCCCCCCCCCCCTCCCCTTCCAGGGTCCAGGGAGGCCCCGCCTGAACGAGGACGGTATTGGAAACCCATACGAGTTACATGGTTTCGTGCCCCCCCCCCCTCCAGGGATGCCCCGTCTGAGCGAGGAGGGCATCGGACACCCATACTATTTACATGGTTTCGCGCCCGTCCCACCCCTCCAGGGAGGCCCCGCCTGAGCGAGGAGGGTATCGGAAACCCATACTATGTACCTGGTTTCGTGCCCCTCCCACCCCTCCAGGGAGGCCTAGCCTCAGCGAGGAGGGTATCGGAAACCCATACTAATTACATGGTTTCGTGCCCCTCCCACCCCTCCAGGGAGGCCCGCCTGAGCGAGGAGGGTATCGGAAACCCATACTATGTACCTGGTTTCGTGCCCCTCCCACCCCTCCAGGGAGGCCTCGCCTGAGCGAGGAGGGTATCGGAAACCCATACTATTTACATGGTTTCGTGCCCCCTCCCACCCCTCCAGGAAGGCCCCATACTCTTTATATGGTTTCGTGCCCCTCCCACCCCTCCAGGGAGGCCCCGTTTGAGCGAGGAGAGCATCGGAAACCCATTATGTTTACATGGTTTCGTGCACCTCCCACCCCCCCAGGGAGGCCCCGCATGAGCGAGGAGGGTATCGGAAACCAATACTATTTACATGGTTCCGTGCCCCTTCCCACCTCTCCAGGGAGGCCCTCCCTGATCGAGGAGGGTATCGGAAACCAATACTATTTACATGGTTTCGTGCTCCTCCCACCCCTCCAGGGAGGCCCCGCCTGGACGAGGAGGGTATCGGAAACCCATATTATTTACATGGTGGGCGCCCCCCCTTCCAACCCTCCTCCTCCTCCTCCTCCCTCCCCTCCTCCTCCTCCTAATCCTCATCTCCTCCCCTACTCATCCTCCTCCTCCTCCTCCAGGAGGGTATCGTAAAACAATGCAGTTTACACGGTTTCGTGTCCCCCCTCCACTCCTCCAGAGAGGCCGCGCTTGAACGAGGAGGGTCGCGGAAAGCATTACTCTTTACCAGGTTTCGTAGCCCTCCCCCCTTCCAGCGGGGCCCCGCCAGAGCGAGGAGGGTATCAAGAAACCGTACTATTTACAAGGCTTCGTTTCCTGAACACCTGTCCTCCCTCCTCCTTTCTTTCGTCTGCCCTTTCGTGCGTACTTACTCGTTCGATGAGCTTCGCCTTCGTGTTGATGTTGTCGTACCCCGCGGGTCCCACGAAACCGTTAATATCTTTATGTGGGGAACTCCGTTAGCATAATTTT